TCATTTTTGGAAAAATGGTTATTTTGGAATGGATATTTCGCTAACTTGATAAATAATGAAAATAAATTAAATTTTAATGAACTTAAAAAATATGTTGAAAATGTCCCGAATGGCCCAAGTAATTGTGAATTCGAAGATTTGTTTGATTATTTAAATGAATTAACGGTAACTTGAGTAATTTAATTAAAGTAGTAAAATTAATTAATGAATAATCAAAGCCCTTATTTAAATTTGGGATGAAATAGAGATTAATTTTGAATCGAATAATTTTGAATTCGAAGTATTCGCTACGAATTCGGCTTCAAATTTTCATTTTTCAAATCTCTAGTTTGGACATACACCTTGAGGAATCTATTTTTCTGGGATTTTAATGCTGGGCTTGGGCTATATAGAATTTTTTGGTTATATAGACATATTATGTCCAATCTGGGTAGGCCGAGTCACACAAAATACGAGATGCGAGATCTCTCAAAAAATACGAGATTTCACGAGATAAATGCTAAGCCCACCCCTAATTTCCAATCTGTGTGGGACAAATAATATTTGATAATAACAATTTTTATTTGAATCATAAATTTAATTTCAATTAATAAAATAAAACCACAATCTAAAATACGATTAAGATCGAAAAATAAAAAGAAAAGCTCTAAATTTTAATGTTTATAATTATAGCATCTTCTAAACACCGAAAATATTCATTTTGACGTTTTCGATGCAATAATTACAAATTCTGACAGAATGCGCCATTTTTTATGTGACAATGATATTATGAAAACAAAATATTATTTAAATGTATTAATGGATACAGGCAATCTAATTCTTTTAGAAAAAAGACATCCAGAAGTTTTAAAAATAGGTACTGTATAATATTCCATAATAAAGGGTTCCAAATAAATATTCCAAATAAAAATAGGTACTGTAAGCATAACTTGTTTCATAATTTCCGAATGTTACCAAATTTAGTATTAAACGACTCCTCTCATCGAGCTAAATAGATTGGTACCAAAAGTGATAAGAGCCAGAGATTTTCCAGCAAGTTATGGATTTGCGCCATTATGGCCGCGCGCCTACTTGGGCGTGTCCCCATAATAAAACAATAATCTATATTAGTGTTAGGCATTTGCGATTTTTCGAGATCGAGATTATCGAAAATCTCGATATCGAAAAAATCTCGATTTTTCCAAAAATTGATCGAGACGAGATCGAGATCGATAATCTCGAAAAATCTCGATATCGAAAAATCTCGGTCCAAAATTTTCGACATTATCGCGATATTTAGATATTTTTATAATCCCTTAGAATTGAATAAAAATTTATTTCAATCAATATAATTATGATCTAAATGTAAATTTGCCACAAAAAATTGCCAAATTGCCAAAAATTGGTTCAGAAAAATTAACATTTCTGCATTTACTGGACTCAAAAGTGATCGCCTGTAGTCAAAGACGTCTTTCTGACTTGACCGATATTTCTGACTTGACCGATACGAGATCGAGATCGATAATCTCGAAAAATCTCGATATCGAAAAATCTCGATTTTTTCAAAAATTGATCGAGACGAGATCGAGATCGATAATCTCGAAAAAAATCTCGCGATATCTCGAAAAATATCGTCGATATATCGTCTCGTGCCCAACACTAATCTACATCGCAATTCACATCTGTCTATGTGAATTGCGATTTTTACTATATTAGTCAAAACACAGGGAATGACTAAACTACAGTATATGCTCAAATAATTGCCCATGATATTATTGTTTGTTCTCTATGTTAAAAGAGCTAATTAATTAAAGGGAGGGGGGGGGGCAATTGTTTTAGGGGATAATCATTGGAGCAATTATTTTAAGTATCCATGAGTACTCACCAACATTGGCAATTTCTTTTAAATTCAGATAAAATCCTCACAGAAGCAAGGTTAACTTATTATTTAATGTACATAAATAATCCAATTAATTCTGCCGAAGCATCTGGCGCACACTTTAAAATAACCAGTTCTTTATTATACGGAAAAGTTAAAAATAGTTTTGACGTCATAAAAAAGGAATCGGGCAATGTAAATAAGGTAGAATATTTCTAACAGTTAAATAAATTTTAATTGAATCTCTGACCGCGTTTGAATAAATTTTCTGTTTGATTGAAATTTTATTTTGAAATATGAAAAAAACACAATATTTACGAGGAACTTAACACAATTTTATACCGTAATTCATTACTGATTATCAAAGAAATCATTTCAGATCCTAATTGATCTGAGGGGCTTAGCTATACTAGTAAACGCCTTTTAGGTCGTAGGGAGGGGGGCGGAAGCTATACTCCTTTGTGGTGTTTTACACGATTTTTAGCCTAAAGGTGTATCTAAAAATAGTTATGGCTTTATATTAAAAGTTGAATTTATAGTTAATTCCCGGCAATAATTCAAAGCTTCAAGTTTTTTCTGATCGTTTAAAATGGCTCAAATCTCGACTTTTTGCTAATGAAAAATCCTTTTATGATTATAAAAGTTTATGTTTAATGGTTTATTTTATTCAAATGGCAACACCAGAAAAATTTTCTGAAGTAACTAAAAAATTAGGAAATAAATCTAGAATATTAGATTTGAACAAAGTAAAAAATTGGGAAGGAAAGGAATGCGAAAATATTGAAAATAATGCTGAATTACGAAAAGACATATCATATCGGCAAACGGTAAAAGTTTAATATATTACAATTAACTAATTTTTTAAAATTATTTGAAAATTTAAAAATAAATTTCAATAATATATAATTTATTTCCTATTAATATTAAAAAATTTTACAGATTAAAAAAATAAATATAAGTACCTAAAACCTTTTTCCCGCATAATAGTTTACCGTATTTACTCGATTAATTCCCCTCCCTTGAATAATTCCCCTCTCACGAATAATTCCTCCTGCTACGGATGAGTTGAAACAATAATCCACCTCCCCCAAATGCCCTACTACACGTTCAAATTACAAAACTCGAATAATTCCCCTCCCTTGAATAATTCCCCTCTCTCGAATAATTCCTCCTGCTACGGATGAGTTTAAACAATAATCCCCCAACCCCAAATACCCTAATACACGTTCAAATTACAAAACTCGAATAATTCGCTTCCTTGAATATTCCCCATGCCACGGATGGGTTGAATAAATAATTCCCCCTGGGGAATTAATCGAGTAAATACGAGTAAATAAATTTCCAAATAGAAGGACACTATAAAAATACAATTAAAAAATTATTTTTTAAATTGTATATTAAAGCAAAAAATTATAATCTTGTAATATTTCTCACCAAAATCACCAAATTTTCTAAAAAAAAAGAGATTTTAACTAATATTTTAGATTCTTCTGCAAGAAGAACATCACAATTTTATTAAATCAAATCTTGAAATTGATTTAATTATAGGCAATGTTGATAGAAGAGCCCGACTTAACAAACTTTTTCTTAGTAGAAAATACAAATTTTCCTATCAAAGTATTAACTTTTTAATATTTAAATTAAAAATTGAAAAATAGGATTAATAAATGTATGTAAATTAGGATTGGATTCATTCGGGGTCGGTGGTTTTAGCCAAAAATTTGGTTGAAGTTTAAAAAAGTTTTTATTTATTAAAGATGAAGCTTGGAGAAAAACTAATTTTTGCCATAAGAGGAATTTTGGGCTCTAGTCTAGTTTATGTGTCCAATGAAATTTTATGCATCCAATGAAAAGTTAATTGCTCGAGAGCTCACCTAACATTAAACTGTAAACTCAAACGGGAACTTAACTTTGTGATTAACCAATCTGTGATCATACTGTGATTTAAGATTGTTAATACCACCATAAGTGGACCATCTTTACTGAGAATAGTGATTGGACTCATGAACTTTCGTTGAAGCATGAACGTTTCATTGGACACCATAAAAGTTCGTTTGACGCAAAAAGATTGGGAGAACTAGACCAGAGCCAAATTTTGGGTTTCTGGCCAATTGATGCTTTTTGAAAAATTATTTTTGTCATTTCCATGTATTTTTATCCCATATTCGCCCCATTTTTGTGTTTTGGAATGGGTCAACTTTGTTAAAAATAACAGTTGCTTCTTTAAATTTTATCATAAAACACTCTAAAATATTTTTCTCATTTTTTAATAATTTCAGTATTTTCCAACATATCAAATTTTAATCAAAATATAATAGGAATGTTTAACGAAAATGAAGTAAAGGCAGAACAGAATAGAATGGCTGCAAGTATTTTTGTCTTTCATAACTGGCTTAAATTTCGTGTAGAAATCAAAAAAGATTTGCCCAAATATTGGGAAAAACTGTTTGAATCTGAAGAAACAAAATTTTGGCTTAATGATTTATATGAGCATGTTTTTATTTCTGAGGATTTAAAAGATATTGGTGATGATAAGCATCTAAAAATATTAGCAGGAGTTAAGGCATTAGCTGATGGAGAGTTAAAAATGGAAACTAGAAATTCAAAAAATAAGTGTGTTAATTTATTTTAATTTTTAAAAAATTTTAACTTGATAAATTATTCGAGTTGTACAAGGAAACCTGACTAGAGCTGTTTCGAAATTTAGTTTTCGACTTTGATTATTATGGCTCTTTTGATTTTCGATTTTGAAGATATTGAAAAATATTTTTGATTATTCTCGAAAATTTTTTTGTTTTGAAACAACTCTCAATTTTCTGAATTGAGCGTTGATATTTCCCATCCTACCAAATTTGAATTGGAAAAATACATAGAATTATAAGTTATTCACATTTTTTCTAATAGAAATCTACTTTCTAAGTTTTAGTTACTCAAATTTCAGATTAAACCTAAATGTAACTAATAATAATAACTAAATAATAATAAATAATAACCTAACCGGACCATCTAACATACCCAAACCTACCACCTAAATACACTAAATCACCTAAAAATAACCGGACCACCTAAAACAATTATCCGTATTCTTATAGAAATATAAAAAGGGATTATTAATTTTGATTAATAAATATTTTTGAAGGGATTTATTTAAAGAATTAATACGCCATTTGGATATAATAGGACAAGATAAAGACGAAAAGTTAGATAATATGTGGTTGATAAAGAAAAATAAAAAACGCTTTGTAGTTTGGATAAAAAAATTACTGAAGGATGAATTATTTAATGAAATTGAGATAATAAAAAATGTTGATCAAAAAGGGAAGAAAGTTATTGATAGTGATAATACTTATATGGAGGAACAAGGAACACAAATTAAGGACTTTTTGGATAGATTGAAAGAAGGTAATCGATATTTAAATTGAAGTTGGCTGATTTGCTTTGTATTATAAGCACTAACTTTATTTTGCCTGTGATCACAGTCCCATCACAGTGTTGGGAACAATTATAAAGTGATTAAATGATTATAGTGCTCATTTTCCGAATACAGATTTTGAACTTCGCGCTCATGCCGGACCAAATACGACCGGATTTTCATATTAGTCCGGAGATATTGAAATGATATGAATTTGGGAAATGTCGAATTGATATTAAATAATTCATAGGATGATAGAAACTGCGGATAAATTTTCAGCTTGTGGTCTATAACAGGGCTGGGATCGACAAAATGCTAATCAAAAGTACAAAAATCTTGATTAAAAAGTATATAGGGAGAAAATTTGCAAATAAAAAGTACACTCCAAATTAAATTAGAAAATATTTATTCGTGCTCAAATCTTTTATATTTCTCCTAAATTAATCTTTTCTAATAATTTCTTGTTTCCACTGAGCATTTTGTGCATTTCAATGCGCTTTTTTGTGGCGCCTATGGCGACACAAAATCTTCTATTTTTTGCGACGCAGGCGAAAATTTTGAGAATTTTGGAGGTCCTTAAGCCAGATTTCTTCATTTTTTCAAAATGTTGATTTTAAAGTACATACTTTCAAATAAAGTACGAATCCAAGCCCTGGTCTATAACAAATGCAATTTATTATAAAATTATAAAGTAGATTAAATTGTTATTAAATTTAACATTTTTTAGATCTTCTCTCTCACAAAATTGACTTAGATAAATTTGCTTCCGCGTTCAGTCTCGATGAAACTAATATAAAAAATATTTTTGAAGATTTGAAAATTAAAATTAAACCAGAAGTTTTACGAGCAGAAATAAAGAAAATTAATGAAACGATTAAAAAGGAAAATCAGACTAATCAAAAGAATAATAAAAACGAAATAATTCAAGAAAAAAATAAAGAAAATTTAGTAGAGTCAAATAAATCTAATGAAAATATGGAAGACAAAAATAACGCTGAAATTAAATCGTGTAAAGAAATAAAAGAAGAAAAAAATTCAAAAACTAAAAAATCTAAGAAGAAAAAAGGGGTAAAAAATGAGGGGGTTGTTGATGAAATAAAAGAAGATAAAAATATAGTAGTTAATATTGAAGGGGAGGAAGTGGTGAATAAAAATGAAGAAAGTAATAAGGAAGAGGATAATAAGGTAAACACCGAACATCAAGAAGAAAAGGTGACACAAAGGAATAATGAAGAGCAAAACATTGAAGAAAAAGAAGAGAAAACTGAAGGAAATATTAAAGAGGAGAAAAATGAAGAAGAAGAAAAGAAGATTGAATGGAATAAGGAAGAAAGGAAGAAAAATGAAGAGAATAGTGAGATTGGAGGGAATAATGAAGGGAAGAAAAAGGAGGAAGAAGAAGATGAAAGGGAAACTGCAGGGAATAATGAAGAAAATAATGACGAAGAAGAAAAGAAGACTGAAATGAATAAGGAAGAGAAGAAGAAAAACGTAGAAGAGGCAAGGAGGATTGAAGGAAATAATGAGAGAAAGAAAAAAGAAGGGGAAGAAGATGAAAGGACGACTGATGTAAATATTGAAGAAAAGAAAAATGAAGAAGAAGAAAACCCGATTGAATGGAACAAGAAAGAGAAGAACGATCAAGAAAAGGAAAGGACTCACGGAGTAACTAAAGAGAAAAAGGTGGAAAAGGAAGAAGGGAAGGTCGAAGTGAATAATGAAGCTAACTCTGTCAAGAAGTATTCCAATGATAAGAAAACCAGGCGAAAAAATAAATTTAGGAAAACAAAGTCTAATAATACGAAAAAGACTGAGGTTAAGGATAAAGAAGCTTTGATTAATGCAGAAAATGAAAAGTGTGTAAGAATTCTCTATATTACGTAATCCCTCGGGCCCTTTGTAAGAGTGGAATGAGAGATTGGTCCCATTCGTCCCATGGAACCAATAAATTGTCTTGAATCTTGTTACTCTTTGGTCTTGGGGACAAGTCTTGGTCTTGGGTCTTCGGGTTAGTCTTGGTCTTGATCTCGAATCTTAGAAAATTTTCGGTCATGGACGTTTTCTATTAGATATTAAATAGTAACTACTATGTATTTATAGCAAAGAAATTAGCAATTCAAAGAGTGAAGAAGGAAGTGATTATTTATTGCCAGACAGTGAAGATGATGAACTTGGATTTACCAATACTAGTAACAAAAATATAAAAAATATTTCCTCAAATACGCAAATAGTATTAATGGATGAGACAAATAAGGAGATGAATTTAAATAAAAATGAAGGTGATTTTTATTGGAAAATATTGATACCCCCCCCCCCCCATTATAACCCCAGTGTCGATAACATTTCCTGATACATAATTAGAATAATTATTATTTTATTTTCAATCAGATTTTATAGAAATTGATGAGTTAAAGAAAAATATAAAATTGAAGAAAGATAAAGATGACAAGTTAAAATTCAACAAAAAACATAAATTAAGTGCTAATCAAAAGATTATGAAGTATAAAAATAAGGTAAAATTTTGAAATTATAGGTCAAATCTAGGTTAAAGTCAGTTCTCATTATAAATACCCAAAATATTAAGATTTGATTTAATTAACCATTTTTAATATTAGTCTGGCCATAGAAATATTTTTCAAATTTTTTCAAAGTCTATTAATTTTTTATAGCAAACTATTTGTCGTTTAAATGAAATAAATAAATTAATTCAAAATATCGAAAGTATAATTTCATTAAATAATAACTTGGAAGAATTTAATAAATTAAAACTTGAATGGGAAAATATTAAAAATAACAAGTTTAATACTTTTAATTGCAATTTATTTAAAGCAAAATTAGAAAAATATAAAAATACAAAATTAAAAGTAAAATTAGAAAATGAAAGAAAACTTTTGGTAAATTATTATAATAATTAAAAATAACTTTTGAAATAAGCTACAATTAATATGAAATTATTTTCAATTTTTAATTCTTAGATTGAAGCCGTACTTCAATTAATACCATCAGATAATGATAAAATATACCCACTCGAAGAAACAATCTTATATTTTAAATCAGTCATTTATGGATGGGTAATAATTTTTTTAAAATAAAAATTACATTATTTATTTAATAAAAATTTTAGCGTCCAGAATCTCTTATACTTATTTCTGGTTCGTATATATTCAAATCTCTCACACCTGAGTCAGATATTGATATGATTGTATTATTACCGAATTATGACTGTATTAATGAGATTAATTTACAATATACAAATAATTTGGTTTTTAATGAAGATCAAAATTCGTTATATAATATAATTAGAGAGGTAATTATTTAATTAATATACAGGCGATTTCAATAGACCCATCTCCCTGATTATTAGGTCACTGAGGGTTTCTGGGAGTTCTGAGGGTTTCTGGGAGTTCTTTGTGTTGGTTCCGGTTACGGATCTCCCCCAACATTATTTAACCCTCTATTTAAATTGCCCCTCATTACAGCGGGACATTTTTTACATTGGACTAAGATAATCTTTTTCAACACTAAGTTATCTAAAAATCTGGTTCGACTAAGTAATTAAATAAAAAATATTATTTTTAATTTTAAAGATGGAAGGTGTTACATCATTATTTAAAGTTGGTGGTCGAGTACCTTTGTTAAAACTTGTATATTATGGTTATGATTTTGATTTGCTTTTTGTTGGAGTTCCATGCCGTCAACCATTTGAATTTCTTTCGTTTCTAAGAAAAGAATATAAAGAAAATTTAAATTTAGAAGACACAGATAAACTTATCAATCAAATTATTTTTAATCTTAAAACAAAACCGATCGAAGATATTCGTTCAGTTATACTTCCTCTTTCCGGTCTGATTAACTAACGCATAAAAGAACAATTTTTTCATTAAAGGTTATCGTGCCAATCTTTATATTGTCAAATTAATGGAAGAAAATTTTGAAAATTTTAGAATACTCCTTTTTGTCCTAAAAATATGGGCCAAAAGTTTGTGGTTTTATTTTTGTGTTAAAAATTTTTATTTAAAAATTTAAGAGCATTTTATATACAGCGGACAATTTGGCTTTTTTAATGGAACAAATTTATCAGTAATGGCTTGCAAAACAATTTTGTTAAATAAAAATAGAACTCAATCTATTTTTCATCTATTAGAGCAATTTTATATCACATTTACAGAATGGTTAGATATTTTGTTTTTAATTTTTGAATTACTGAAAGAAAACAGATCTCTAGATCGGAAGACCTCCGTTGAGTTATGCCCGATCATTCTGTCCAATACTAGTGACCGGATGCCCGGTCCGGTTTTCGCCATCCTCCGGATTACTTCCGGACCTAATTAATATTAATAACCATATTTTGCCAGGAATTGGACAAATCCTGTATTATTGGAAAGCATAATTGATCGCCAACAATTATTAAAACAATTCAATAATTTATTAAATAAACAAAATTATCAAAATCAAGATCTTATCTCACTAAAAAAATCTCTAGATTGGGATATTAATTCTGATTACGATAAACGGTGGCAAGTACTTGGTCTTGATAATTATACTATTTATAATGAAAATAAACATCGATTAGTACAACATGCTAAGCTAATGTGGCCAATTATTGCCCCAGGCAATCCTAATCAAAATTCCGGATTTAATATAAATTATTCTACTTCAAAGATTTTACTTTCAGAAATGAGATTAGGTATCTAAATAATTTATTTTGATTTTACAATGAGATATATTTAAAATTGAGAGTATTTCTTAGTTAGAGGTTCTCAATGTTGCTTAAATGAAGTCGAATAATCGCCATAAAAAAATAAGGCTTGTGGGTATCTAAATGAGATTTAGCTGTAGTATTTAGATTAAGCATATGGTGAAAGATAAAGCTAGAGGAAAGGGCAATCTTTCTGACGGAAAGATCGGATTGTGATATAGTAAGAGTTGAATCCCTTTCACGAAAGAGTTATTTCACTTACTATAATCTCTAAATTAATTTTTATCTTAAACAAGCTTCTGAATCATTGAAATATGTTCAAAGTGTAATAAAATATTACACCAGCAAAAAGAGAAAAAGTAGGGAAGACAAAATTATTATAAAAAATACATGGATAAACTGGCTAGATGGAGGTCCTTTCGAGGAAAAGGTTTTTTAATGTTTAATTTTTCCAAATTTTATTTTTCAAGTATGAACACTTTATGGCAATTACTTCAATCAATTTAAATCCAAATAATTCGAATAATCAAATTTTTGAAGAGTTTAACAATTTTGTGGAAACCAGAATTAGATTGGGACTTGTATTTAATATTGAAAATATTTCTGAAATTGATTATTGTCATGCTAAGCCTGGAAGAGTTTGGAATAATGAAAAGTGCCCTTCAATAATTACTGAAATTATGAATAATGAGTAGGTTTTTGAATATTATAAAATATAAATAGTTAACCCTCACTGATACATCATATTAGAGCCGGATCTAGACTAGTTCTCAAACAAAAATCTGTCATTTTCGAGAGATGGATCTAGATTCTCGCACGAATTTCCCTTTCCTATCTCTGCCTAACAAATAAGATATCAAAAATATCTAAATTTAGGATAAGTTTATTTTAAATTTGGTGTATTGTGATGCATAAGCAATACACCCGATCTATGATATCTCACTATAAATAGGATATTTCATCCATTGTTGCTTTGTCCAAGAATCCAGTGGCACCCCGGCCCACACTTACAGATTGTGAAAAGAGGGTCTTGGGGTATCTATAAAAGATCTCACCTTACATTGATTTTCAGAAATATTTCAACTAATTTGTTATGTACAACCTGGATAGTCGGCATTAAAATGACTTCAAAAACAAGATTACCTTCTTCAATTTTTATTTCCTCGTCTAATCATTTTGAAGAATTTGCAAATAGAATTAAACAAAAATCTTTTTTACCCGAAGAAGAAAAAGAAAATATACAATTATTAGCCAATTATTGGCCTAAAACCCAACTTAAATTGGAACTAAGAAAAAAATAGATCCTAAAAATTAAAAAAAAAATTATTTAAAAATATTTTTTGATTTCCATCTTTATTTATAAATTCTTATAAGATTAGATTTATGCAAATTTTAGGTATTTTCCCATCTTTAGTTAATAAAGTTTAGCCACAAGTAATAGTCGAATCTTGATATTTTATTTCCAATATCACACACTTACAGTATGAAGTCCTGAGTTGTCAGCTTATCAAAATTCGACTATAGCACAATGTATTATTTTTGTATAGCTAAATATATTTTTATTATTAAGTTCATTTTTACAATTAAACAGAATTCAAAGTTTCTAAAATCATTTATTGTTATTAACGAGATTACCAAATTGCAATACATTTTCAATTCATTACATTTCAATTTTAGCGTGTCAATAAAACCTTCCTTTTCACGGCTCTTCCATTTAATTATATTAGCCTATAGCTCTTCCATTCTTTTAACTTTTCTTTATAACAATACCCGTCGTTGGGTTGTGGCACTAAAAGTATGTAAGATATTCGGGGTCACTTTAGTATATGGGTCCCGAGCTTGATATACAAATGTTATACCATTTGAAAGAGCTCGTCGAGCTTAGTCGAATGACACCAGTTTTAGCCCGAGGAAAAATTTTTGGACCGAGATATAGGTCCCTGAAATTTGAAAAAGCATAGGGGGGACCAAGCACTTTTTGGGGTGAAAAATTCGAAAATGCAAATTATACCTCATTCGAAGAGCTCGTCGAGCTGAGTCGAATGACACCAAAACCACCGTGATTGAACAATATTAGACATAGTTATCACAACAAACAAAAAACCTAAACCTATGGGGCGTCGGCGAGGCGCTTGTGCAAAAACCCGCGCTTCGCGCGGGTTTTTGCGGCACGCGCCTCGCGGGGAGTCTACGGGCGATGGGTCTGGGCTCGTAACATAAACCTATTCCTATCTCACTTGCTTTGGACATATTTGGGGCCTCCGTAGCAGCAAAAATCTCCACAGATGTCATAGGTAAGGAGCTAAAATAAAAGATCATAACTTTGTCAAATCAAGTTAGATTTCGTTGATTTTTGTGTCATTCGACTCAGCTCGACGAGCTCTTTCGAATGAGGTATAATTTGCATTTTCGAATTTTTCACCTCAAAAAAGTGCTTGGACCCCCTTTGGTTTTTCGATTTTCGGGGGCCTATATCTCGGTTCAAAAATTTTTCCTCGGGCTAAAACTGGTGTCATTCGACTCATCTCGACGAGCTCTTTCAAATGGTATAACATTTGTATATCAAGTTCGGGACCCATATACTAAAGTACAGCCAGATATTCCTTCTTTCCTTAGGAATTCTACCATTCTATTCTATAATGGGGAACAAACATCACAAATTAATTATTCACTCAAAATAATTAACGTAGATAAATAAATTAACACAAATAACACAGCTAAAATCTTTATCTCTAAATATCACACAAATACCTATTTATAAAAAATGAATATTCACAAAAAACATAAATATTAAAAAAGTGAAATTTCTGCCTGTCTTTTATAGACAAAAATAACAATAATAAAAATGATGCAATATAAAGTACATTGTAAAAATATACAAAAATATTGTCAAAAATGGAAAGTGACTCACTGAGCACCACACAAAAATAAACAAAATTCCACAAAAATATAAAAAATATCAAATTTATATAAAATCTTTAAATCCTCAATTTCGACATCGACGACTCTTCCACTGCTTATAATAAAGTCCTAAAAAATAAAAAATATTATTTAAAAATTAACTTTAATTAAATAATTTATTTATTTGCACTTTTACATCAAAGAAAGCTTTCACATTATTTTTATAATGCACGTGAAAAAAATATGTCAATAATTAATTGGGTAATTATTTCTTAAGAAAAATTTCATAAGAAAATGTCTATCTTTCAAAACTATACGTCTGCTTAAAATATTATTGTCTAAAATAGCTTCACTTACCCTTAAATTTTTATTTTTTAAATGAATTTTTAGGTAATTTTAATAATAGAATGTTAATATTATTTAAATTAATATTATATTTTATTTTATTAAATAATTTTTTGTGCCAAAATGGACCGCTAAATTGTGAGGATTTAAAGATTTTATTGAAAATTTGAACTTTATTTTTAAATAAAAACAAATTTCATTATGAAAGAATAATTTTAATAAATTTATTAATTTTTTAATTAATTAAGAATAAAAAATTATAATTTAATTTTTCACAAATTTAAATTTTAAATATTTTTGGAATCCATTTTTGGAAGGGAGCTATACTGAAATAATTAATTACACCCCTTCCCTAGCTAAAGGTTTTAACAATAATACCCATGAAAGCTCCAATTTAAGATATATCCCATTATATATGTAAGATAAAATTTGTCAGTCCTATGAGTTATCCTCTAGGTCTAGATATCTAAGGCTTGCCTATATTAATATAAAAAATTTAAAGTATTAAAAGTCCAAAGTCTTGATAAAAGCTATGTTCAACTACTTTTGGATGATCTTTCTGATAAAGATTATAACGAGTTATACATGAGAATCACAATTACATTGATAGAACAAAAAATCTTTGAAAGAAAACCTCTTATCGATAAAATATTGGAAAAAGAAAAAAATTCCGTAAAAGAATATTATAAATCAAAATCCTCGAAAAAATTAAAAAATAAGGAAGAGCAAAGAGAAAATATTGAAATTAAAATAATCGAAGAGAATTTAAACTTGATAGGAAAAATGTTTGAATTCTACAATGCTGTAAAAGATAACTTAAATAAATCTTCTTTAAAACACACGGGAGATACAACAATAAATATTTTGGCAGAATTTTATTTAACGATAAAGTCTATAGATGTGAGTGATTTCAAAACGTCGAGGAATATTATTGATAAATTTGGTTAGAATTTTTTAAATGTATTAGTTTTACCCTGGACTGCAAGCAACTGAAAAAAATTTTCTCAGACTGCATCGGGAATTCTAATTTCAAAATGCAGTGACGCAATCCGAGAGTGCGCAGAGCGCTGGTCTGTCCTTTTGTGTCCGTGCATTTTATTCCACTTTCACATTATGTAATTTCAGACTTTTTGTCCTCGAAGGGTGTATTGGTGTATCATAAAGTGTTAACTAGAGATCGGCAAAGTACAGGATCCTGCACAGGATTTTTCAGGATCCTGTCCGAAATCCTGCCTTTTTTCAGTTTTCAGGATTGGAAGGATTTCAGGATTTTCAGGATTAATCCTGCAGAATCCTGTCCTGTTCGAAATTTTAAAACCCACCCTGATACAGGGGGCTGAAATCCGATTTTACTGATCTCTAGTGATAAACTATTCAATTAAATTTGGAAGCAACACGCCAATAGGCGCACCTATTAACCTCATCCGCAACTTCAACTCGAACAGTTAAAGTCATAAGTCTGAAACCCCGTTACCATTTTTGATCCTGAAGGCTCGGACGCAACCATAATTTAAAAATATTTTAGAGCGTATTAAAAAGATCAATATTATGGACAGTGATCCTTCATCGGAAGTAATCAACTTAATTGAGAGATTTCATCTACATGCAATTAATAATTTAATACCTGCAAAGTTTGAAAATAAAAGTATGGAAAAAAGTGAATTTTCTTCAAGATTATATTCATTATGTTTGGAAGATTCTGCTGAAGTCATAAATAAAATTAAAGAAGCGAAAATTAAATTGAGAAAAATAATGCCTAGCTTAATGTTTCCCTGGTTGGAGATGCAAAAACCGATAATTTTTCGACTTGGTAATATTGACATTGTAAAAGCATGATCATTCGCCTATTCATTCCCTCATTGCTAGATGACTCTTGAATCTATACAGTCGCCATTCCATTCCACCCATTCCATTACTATATGAATAGTACAAAAGTTAAAAAAAATTCACATTTCTGGATAAACGCAATTTTTTATCTTTTACCCTACAGTAAAGTTGGAAGGTGTTGGGCAGAGGGATGCTCGTGCGTGGCCAGCGCACTCACCAACTAATCGGATCAACTCAACTATTCTTTCGTTGCCAAAAAGATAAACATAATTATAAATGAAAACTAGACTGTCAATAATATTTACTTCTCACATTTGATTAAAATGAACGGGATTAATTATAAGATATAAGGAGTCGGGGATTCGACTTTTGTTGTTCACGAGTAAGGAATTCTTTAATATTAGGCCATCTAAGTCTTCCTTACCCTATCTAGAGTAAACTTCTCTGAAACTAACCCCTAAGATCCGGCTCTCAAACTGAAAATTTTTGAGTTAAGACTCACAACCAAATCTTGTACGCCTTTTATTTGAAAACTTATCTTTTATATTTACACAGATATTATCGAATCATCCTTTATATTAGATCTATATAAAATATTAATTTCAAATAATACGGAAGAAGA